TTCGTTGTATTTTATTTTATTTAGCTAGAAAAATAAAAAAAAATATGTGCACGTGTAAAAAAAATTACTTTTATTTATTCATTCATTGACGCTAGAGTCAGGAATAAAGGGAAAAAAGGATGATTTAAATTTATTTATTTTGATACTTACGTAATATTTACCAACACCAGAGTTGGAAATATCCGTAGTTGAATATTCACTAGCGCCAGAGTCATGAATATTACACACAAACAATCATGGTATAAACCAATAAAAAAAATGTTAGCAATTAAGGACAAAGATCAGCAATGCAGTCTGCCTTAGGTAGGACATTTAAGGGGTGATAATATCTTCTCTTTTACATAACCAGTCTTGTACCAATGAATCTCTGCTGACCAGTCAGGGTTCTTAGTAACCATAATACTAGGTGGCGACTCCTTAAACAAAAAATATCACCATTAAAGAACAGGTTGCCAGAAATTCATTATTTCCATAGATTTAATAAATTTTTAAGGCCGCTGCAATGTTGGGTGCGATAGAATGGCGACTCCACTGGGACTTTAAGACTAAGCTTTGCTATTTGTTTTTCTTATTGATAAACATTTTTTATCGTACCATTTTTTTGCTCTTTTTATTGTTTTAACATGCATAGTTATTCATGTTTATCATGCATATATATTGGATATAAATCTAAGATCTTCACGCATCACTTATCTCATTTTTAAGTGTAGTATCAACTTTAAGATAAGTGGAGGAGTAACGGCACCCCAATGATTTTAGCCTCGGTAAGGCTCTTGAAACTATTCAACTCTCGCATGATTGTTTGCTCAATAGTGGTTGATATGGCGAACTGATTTTACTCAAGACCTCTATCTTCACGCTGCTTGTAAATCTCACATCAACCTTTCAAGGGTGATCACTGAGCATGCGAAAGACCTTTGAGACTAGATAGCAAAATTACCCTGAAGCATTTAATGATTAGAACCTATCCTTTAGGTTGATTCATGTATAACTTTATTGAGATAAAGCTTAAACGTGTAAGCATCATTATTACAAGGCTTTTGGGTGACATAATGACAGTTATTCCTAAGACAACAACTATTGAGCATGGACCCAAGTTTGAATCCTTACAAATGACCGAGGGAGACTACTTTAGACTGGATGTCAGTGAGATACCTTTACTCAAAGACATTAGATGCTTTGTGAAAAACACCAAGAATATGGCTGAAAGCTCAGATGAAAAAACGCTAAATAGATCTCCTCTCGGCATTGCAATGAATATCAAATTCGAATCTGACCACATATTTAAAGAATAGTGATCGTTATGTCACCCCTCAAAAGACAAATTCATACCCAATATGTTGTATTCATCTCCATGCATGTTTGAACATACAATTATGACTTTTCATAATACTGCACTCCTAGTGAAATATAGGTCTCCCATTGAAACACACTTGTAACACTTGACTGCGAAAAAAGACAAATGAAAAACGAAGAAAAATTCTAGTTGGAAGCCCAATACTAAAAAGAGATGGAAAGTCTTAGAGAAGAAGTCATAAAGCTTACTAGCCTACTCAAACAGGCCTTGAGATCTAAACTAGAAAAAGCAAAATCTACAACTTAGCCTGAACTTATGCTTGGAAATCCACAGAATTTGGGGGCAAATGAGGTGTCTCAACAGGCTATGTATTCCTAATTTGCTCAACCAGCATATCTCATTGGAATGTCATCTACCATTGGCCTTACAATAAAGGAATCTCAAAAGAACAAGATAGTAAAAGAAGATGGCCTAGATAAATGGGCTGCCCGGGAACAAAGGTTGAGGGCATTTGAGGGAACTAGCCTACATGACCACATAAAAGTTGTTGAGATATATTTGGTATCTAACGCAGTCATTCCTAGAAAGTTTAGTGTGCTAGAATTCATCAAATATACATGAACTCAATGCCCTGTAACTCATCTCAAGACATACTGCAACAAAATAGTTGAGGTAGTCTATGATGAGAAACTGTTGATTCACTTATTTCAAGATAATTTGAGTGACATTGTCTTTGCTTGGCATATGCGGTTGGATAATATTAAGGTTAAAAGATTGAAGGATTTAGTTGATGCCTTCATGAGGCAATATAAGTTCAATATAGACGTGGGCCCTGATAGGTTAAGCTTACAAGCTATGAAAAAGAACAACAAGGAGTCCATAAGATAATACACTAAAAAAAATGGTTTGAGATTGCCACACAAGTTAGTCCTTCTTTATTGGAAAAGTAGATGATCAATTTATTTGTCAACACTTTCAAGGCCCTGTACTTTCAATACCTAGTTGAAAGCCTTGCACAACATTTTTTTTACTTGGTTGCTATAACTGAGAGGATCGAACAAGCTATCCATTTAGGAAGGTTTGATGACTCGATTGAAAAAAAAAATGTTTCATTAAAAAAAAAGAAGAAACCAAGGTTCACAATGTGAAATATGATTACAAAAACAAGAGAAAAAGCTACCAAAACAAAGATATCTAAAGGTCACTTGTCCTGAAAATGAAGTTACAGTGTCACTAAGTCAAGATTGATTTATGTGTGACCTTAACTGACTATTGGAAAGGTGCCCCTATCAAGGAATTCAAAGGAGAGAGATGGTTGAAAGATTCCAAAAATTTCAATCGATGATTATTAAGTATTTAGCCCTTTTATGTGTAACCTTACTAGTATAAGTCTTTGTTTTTTTCCTTCACTTGCGTCTTTACAATCAAAATATCCTGAAATAGGTTCCCTCTAAGAACTCACAAATATACTTTTGAAGTCTCGCGTGACCTTATAGACACAATTTATTATTTTTATCAAAATCAGTTTTCCTATTAGAGTTTTGAAAAATTAATATGGCATTTTGATTTCAAAAGTAATTTGATGTTTATTCAAAAAATGATATTTTTGGCATTTTACTAGTAGAATAACAAGTGAATCAAACAACTCCATCATTGAAATGACTAAATTATAAACAAAAAAATTATGAAAAAAAAAAAAGAAAAAGAAAAGAAATGAATAAACACTCTTACCTCATTACTCTTGAATCATGTGCTTTTTTTAATGTAGAAATAATGGTATGTAGTGAACTTACTGCTCGGGAATAATGGTATGTAGTGAACTTACTGCTCGTAACTCATGAAATGAAATGCATCTTTGCAAAGAATTAACTATCACACTATACGAGGTCAAAATTTATTGATCATAGCTTATTGTGCTTGAAATGAGAAAAGACTATTTTTGTTATTCCTTTCACATTTTAAAATAAATACATTTCTTGCAAAAAAATTTTTAGCTTGAATAATTTTTTTATATAAAATTCCTTTTACATTTTAAAATAAATACATTCCTTGCAAATCTTTTTTTAGCTTGAATAATTTTTTTATATAAAAAAATCTTAACTAGAATCATATGTCAAATTGGAAATAAGTAAAATTTCAATGATCAAGAAAGATTTAATAAATTTTTAATTTCATCGTAATATAGCATGCGACAGACATAGCATTATGTATCAAAGAAATACTAGTAAGTTAATTAACTTGATTTCATTTGATGAATGAAAACTGCACCTGGTGGTCCATACGCTCGGGGATATTGCTTTGTCGAGGAACAAAATCCTGGATCGTATTGTTATCCAAATTCCACGTATCAATGTGCTGGTGGCAAGCAATACTATGGCAGAGGTCCTGTCCAACTTTCATGGTAAGTCCAGATTTTTTATTATTGTTATATATCTGGATCTTGTGACATCTACTGAATATATATTGGGGTGAGGGAGACATGAGGAAGCTTATCCTCTTCAACTATTAATGGCGGTAACATGTTTCAGA